TGTGACAGAGGCTAGCTCTCGTATCAACGTTCATGAAGCTGTAGTTCTTAAGCCGACAATTTTCTTTTCTTCAAGTTTCATTGTTGCTCATAACATGCTGAACGTGATCAATAGATCACGGATAAGAGCCAAACTCAGCAAACACTGGTGTTACTTTTAGCTTTTTAGATTACCAATCTTTGCAGATACGGTGCCAAACTCACGATTGGTGAACGAAAACATATACGTATAAAAGCGGAGAAAATAAAAGTCAACTTCGAGGAGTAACAATTTTTATTTGTTTGTTTACTGTACGCCATTTTGAGTTTTCTTTTATTTTTGGGATTGCAAACAGGAGAGGATGCATTCACGCCACTGACTTCGGTTCGATGCCATACCCCGCAGTGTCTCCAGCCAAAGACAATATGAATCTTTGGGGCCCCAACCAAGGAGCCGGGAAACCCCAACGGAAGCCAGATCCGAACGCAATCTAACCCTCTGCGCCGCATCATAGCCCGCCCACCTCGCTGTTACTTCCAGCCTGGATCGATGTCTACGAATAGTGCACTGTGTGGCAGAGGTTGTTCAGGTTACCGACCAAGCCTGCAAATTAAAGGGTTATCGAAAAACGGTTTTAACACTGTAGCACAGACTTGTCAGAATTTACAAGGTTGAGATATTTAATTATCTCCAACTTAGCTGGTTAATTACACCCCGTTATCATAACAATCAGGCAGAGGTTAATCTTACCCTTTCAGGATAAGAACGCTCTATTCTCAAACAGTGACTATGATACAGAATTAATGGAAAATGGATTTGGATCAATCACCACCGTGGGAAATCGCCAGAGCTTTCTCAATGCGGCTGGATTGGTGAAATATGGATAGAATACTGTGATCGGATTGGTCCATTCGCTCTTTCGGTGCTGTTGCATTCTTCATTCGAGCAAATTCTAGACTCTGCACAACTATATAGATCAAGCACCACTCTCATGCTTCCAATAAGCGCCCGCACTGTTTTGCGATTGTCTTTCCACTGGAATCGATGGGAAACGCCTCGTGGGACGAGATTCAGTGATGGACTGGTACATGGTTAAAAAAACTAGTTTAATTCAATTACTGTAGCCATACACATGAGATGTTAGTCGTTCATGTCGGCTTCGGCTTCCAACTCAAAATTTAGCGGTTTTGGTCCAGACAGGGGCACAAAGTGCGCGTTGCGGATGGATCCGATCTAGAACGAAACAGCATTATTCTTTTTCCGGCCGTTACACAAAAAATTTCATCATAAATACTGTTGATTCTTTTCCTCGGAATCATCATATTGTGTTCTTTCGTCTCAATGCCCACTCTATCGCTTTCTATTTGTCCTGTTGACATTCGTTTCGTTCTGGTTATCAATTTCCTGCATAACCAAGCGAGTGCTTAGTTTGCCCAGTCTCTGACATGTTATAGACATGCAGGCACACGCACACCGCTCACACGTATGACTTTAACCACACGAGTTCTCTTGTGACCTCCATTGCCCCTTAGTATTGGTTAACTCATGTTTCGTCTGGCCTTGTTCTGCATCGGTCCACCGCTTATCACTTATCGATTATTTAACCTCCCACGCACGCCTGCTGTCGTTTGTTAAGAGGTCGAATTGTGTGCACCCAACTCTATTATGATTGTTTCATCCTCTGGGAGCTTCATGTCACTGCCTGACTGGACTTATTTGTTTGACTTCATATACTCTGATCACATTCTCCCTTCGACACAGCGGTGAGCCGTCCCCTTTTGAGGCACCTTGATTGTAAGGTGTATTTCGACACAGCCGAGCGCCGTCATGTTTCTATTTGACGCACTTATATCTAAAAGTGCCTTGACGACTGTCCTAACCCAGATACCTAACGAATCAAGGTTTATATATTCTTTATCACGTCGTTAAGTGATTCGTATTAATAGTACCGTATCACTAGACAGTCTTGGTTTTCATTGCATTGGAACCGAGACTTTGCGCGTCACTTGTCGCCAGATTTAACACGGAAAGGCAGTCTATTCTAATTTCGCAGAAAAGGAATTAACAAATAACAATATGTATTCGAACTGAAAAGGTCAAAAACCAACGGTCAAGGATGCACGAACATGTGCTCAACGGAGAACTGTAGTATGGTATGGCACTATAGATAAATAAAACACCTGAAAATCAAGATAGAGACATGCACATACATGAACGTAAAAAACATGACTATCTCCCAGTGTTCAACAATCGGGGGCCTTAAAAACAAGAGTCAACCTTTCACAGCTAGACTAGGTCGAATTGTGTGCAAGAGCAAATTGTTCACGCGGTTTGATTGAAAGAAAAAAAGTGGATTTCAGTAATTCTCCCTTGTTGCTCACTGTGTATGTTTCCCTGGTGTTTCAACAATTCACCTCGATAGAACACCGGCTCAAAAACTCGTTACAGATGCAGAACGATGATTGTATATTCTCAGGTGGTACGCTCGTCTCTTGCATCACATACTCCTTCTGTAGATAACAACGCTTCTTGAGTGATGGATTAAGATATGAACCGTGCAACAGCACTCCCCATTTTCACCAGTGAGCGCTATGTGAGAACGTTCAAGGATTTGCATGTATCCATCTTATAAACTTCCCTCATTAGCAGTTAACACCCCCTCCCCCGGGGATAACTACAGTCTGAGTACTCGATAAGATTGGTTATCAATTCGTTTTTGTTTTATTTACAAGAAGAATGACTAGGAACAGACAGATATAAGAAGTTATAATGCTCGACCAATGTAACCCCGATATTGTCCCCACCCCACTTTGATGATAAACAGCTTAGGTGGTAGGCAGCTGTGCTGTCGTCCGGTTCAACACCACACCTAACCTATCGGGGCCTTAGGTGGTTCGTCACCCCCAGTTCCGGGGCTTAGGTTACCGATTTCCAGCACTGAACAGCAGGTCCTCGTGACTATGAAACTTTCTCCGTCTGCTATTCATCACATGAAAGTGTGTAATAAAGAAAGAGTTCAATACGATAAGTATCCCACCAGGATTGGATGCAAATCGCCGCTCCTATCTTATTCCATTCCGGATATATGGTCATTTGATTGTTCAGTTTTTGAAGATGTCGAACAAATTGGGTGTGAATCTAGTCAACACTGACGCGTATTTCGATTGGTGTCCCAGTGCAGTCGCTTGATGTGTAGCTTATGAATTCTATTTCAGCATCATGTTACGGAGGTAAGCAATGGCTCAAGCGTTGATCGCGCATGATTCATTGGTATCAGTGGAAGGGGACAAACAAACAGACGTGTATTTAGACCCGACTGATCACGGTTCGAGTCCTGACAGGGACACAAAAAGTACGCACTGCTGACGAACCCCAAACAGGACGAAACAGCTGTCCAATGCTCTTTGTTGGTTATCACAAACATTTCCATCGCATTTAAATGCAAACAGACGTGTACTTGCAAAATAAACAACCAATATGTATTTCATGGGAATCGGGGTGTGTGACCGAGGCACGCTTCACAATCGTCCCCCTGAGCTTCAACAGGTGGTAGAGAAATCTATGTTGCATGGTGATCGCCCAGATATCGCTGGGAGGCTTGTCAGCGCCGATGAGGTCAAGGCGATATCTTGAAATGATATTCGGACAGCTTGACTCTCAAATGGTATGGAGATGCTCTCGGAGAGAATGTCTGTTCAGTGGATCGTGCAAAACATCCAAATGAACCCCTGAACCTCAAACAGCATTTCTCGCTACGCAAGAAGGAGGAAACTGTAGAGTTATTCGAAGTAAGAATAAATATTGAATTAAATTTTGCAACCAACTATCTCTCAGCTCCCCGTTTCTTTTACTAATTTATTGCCTTATTAAACACTGAACGTTGAAGAATTAAAAGAAACCGGATCAACAACGTTTGATGTGAAAGTCAATGACACTGATGATTAATATTCAGATTTATGAACAATGCGGCTGCCCCATCCAAGCTACATAAATGTTTCGAGTTACGTAACGAAGGGAAGTGTATCACCACCCCATAGCAGAAGTATTTTATGATTGACGTGATAAAATAAATCGACCTGAAATGCTACTAACTTACATCAGAACTGGCCTGTTCAGCCTCCACACAATCGGTGTTTCCGAAACCAGCTCAGTAAATTTTCTATCCGTATTTATGTTAAGTTTTCAGCAACATTTCCACTCACTTGAGATACACTCCACCTTCACGCACAATCCTCAGACCATCGATTCAATCATACACTCGGAAGTACTAGACTCGAGTTTCGTTCTTATTAGAGCTCATTGGTAGTGCATATCCACCGTCCCGTCCGGGATTTGAACTTCGGACCCATCGCATGGAAGGCGTGTGCATTACCACTGTGCATACCAGCTCATACCATGGCTGAACCGAATGGCCAATTCATGTAATCATTATTATCATTATGAAGATGAGGTGCGCGATTTGTTTCGTTTGATATCTTAGCGGCAAGATCAATATGAGAGTAAAATCATGTGGGTAGGTCAAAGAATGGACATTTGTCAATAAGCAATGTTTAGTGTCTATAGACCAATGATGTCCACTGAATACGTACGATGAGTAACATACGAAGTACAAAGAGGACAACGGTATCACGAAACCTCAAAATCGCTCGTATTGGTCTGATCTGTAGAACACAATTAGAGAGAGAAGGAGATGCGTACAGAAAGTGAAAGTCAATGTAAGATGACCAACTAGGTGGTCTTGGTGAGGTAAAAGAACACGGTCCGAATATGGAAAAGGTACACGCACGGAGCGGGTGGGGTGGTCGATGCTGTCATTCCGAATGCAAATAACGATAAAGCAAGCTTTTCACAGTACGAAAAAAAACATTAGAATATCGGTGATAAGAATTCAAATTAGGTGGAGAATAAACCCTCGGAATGGCATGATTCAGACGTTGTCATTGTATGAGTGTATATTCTGGAGGTGTATAGTTTGGTCGAATTTGTGTTCGGCGCAATGCAAATTAACAAAGGTCGTCTGTTCACAGTTCAGTTTTTTTGCTGAAATGCACTTGTTTCGGTGGCATAAACTGTGTCAGGATGCTGAGCCGTTCCTTTAGTTTGGCTTTCTGTCCGTCCGAGACCTCACTGTCTACAAGTCTCTTTAATCTGGTCGATTCCTCGTGTAAGTAAGAGGGACCAAGACGAATCAGATTCTCGGCAACAATCAAGTAGAATTTGACTGTTGCAGATCCAACAAAGCGTTTCAAAGAGGTCAGGCGTTTGAACTCCGGCAACAGACGTTGCTTTAGTTCCTCAACAGATGCCGTTCTAGTCTCATGGGCTAACGTGTCTAACGCAGCAATGCATCCTGGCAGAGGTAAACGAAGACCAGTAACAGACGAGACCCACAGAAGAATGTCCTCGGATTTCCAACTTCCGCGATACGTTAACGGCGCAGCGAAACCGCGACGAAATAACATGTAGTAGGGAAGTTCAATATAAGTCAAATTGAAACGATGGAACACACTGTCTTCGGGATGAACGGTAGAACCTACAGGACAACTAATTGGTTGTGATAAAAATGTTCACTTACTGTGTAGCATGTGGAAAACGGTAATGTCGTCTGACGCGCTCAACTGCTTCGCGAATTCTTGGAACTCAGAAAAACGTGGACCCGGAAACATAACATCAAACACAGCCAGGAAGCTGAAAGCAGAACTGGAATTCACATGCTGCATGAGTGGAAGATTCAGTAGATATCTTCTTGAATGACGCTTACCGATAGGAAATTCGATAAATCGGTTTGAACTGAATGAAACGATACCCGTGTTGCCGAACAGTAGCGCATTTCGAGGTGGAAAGATAAGGAAAAGAGGAGGATCGAGATAATTGTGCAACGCATTTCAGCAAGGAACCGCGGAATTACACCACGCATCCCCATGTGTTCGGAATACAGCAGCGCAGTTAATGGAGATTAGTCATGACTGAAATTGTGAACAAAAAGGTAATTTATTAGAACGGATGCACAATTTTGTCTATTCATGTTTACTTTACTTTTTTAACACACACACACACACATACAGAGTGCGCTTGAGACCAACTATGATGATGATCCGTCTACACGAGATTAAAGCGGAACGATTATGAAACGGACTTGGGACGATGGAGATGAGGCAATTCAGGACACAATTGGCAATACATATTTCTTTTGACTCACTATAAGACAAGGAGGTGGAGCGGTGGTTTAGTCGCTGTCACCGGCGTGCTTTTGACCCTATGGTTTGAGGTTCGAGCCCCGCCAACCCCATCCAACTTTGGGGGTAGACAGCTTTGTTGTTGTCCGGTTCAGTACCACACCTAACATATCAGGGCATTATGTGGTTCGCCACTCCAACTCCCGGTTTCCATCAATGAACAGCAGGTCCGCGTGACTATGGGGTTCACCCTGTTTGCTGTTCATCACATTAGAAAAAGGTGTCACTAAACAGCAGTTTACCGCTCCACCTGTGCTTATGTATGCTTATTTGACTCCCCATCACGGCGGCCTGGAGCTCCTATGCTCGAATTCTACTACCAGTCCAGTTCAATTTGAACAACAATTAACAATGCATTTTCGTGTGCCGGTTTTGGTTGCCCATTTGGATGAACAGTAGGAGAAAGACAGAGGTTGAAAGTGGAATGGAAGAGAAAATTGAGAATTTCTGTGGACTAATGTTGCAAAGAAATGCACGAACCCCACTGTTTACGACACTCAGTGTCTGTGACCATCGGGTACGATGATCCCGAGGTCCCCATCCAGGGAGCCTAACACGAACTATATGACCGAGTCTCTTGGTTACGGTTTTCATAACCTCGTGTCAGGTCTCGGCTTGAGCACCCTTGGCTTTCCTTCACCCACTACCTGCCTCAGCGAACATCGCTCACCGTGGCAACCTATTTGTTGACATGCATAACACATGCCCCAACCAAAGTGATCTATGGAGGTCGACCACTTACTCCAGTGGGTGACCTCAGTTACCAAAAATTGTGCCTAACTTCAGTATTGCTTGTCCAGCTGCCCCACCAGAAGTGTGTAATGCTGCGTAGACAGCGGTGTTAAAGCACCGACAGTCTACCTTTATCCTGTTTTCTTAATGTTCAAGTTTATGAGGTCGTATAACAGAACTGCCGCGGCATGCACTCGATCCTTAACAGACAGCCGGATGTCGCGACGGCACCACAGATTTCTAAAATTGGCAAATGCCAATCGAGCCTTCTGTGTGCAAGCAGACACTTCACCCATGATGTGTCCACCGGGTGAAATGTAGCTTCCCAAATAAAAAAAACTTATCCATCTGCTCTATTACTTCCCCAGTTAGAGTGAGTGTGGGTACTGGACGAAACCAGTCTTGCAGTAAGATTTTACTCTTTAAAGGTGAAAAACTCATACCGAACATAGCTACGCTGGCACTCAAACTATCCAGAGAAGCTTGCAATGTAGCTGGATCTTCACTTAGCAATACAATGACGTCTGCATACTCTAGATCAGACAGTCTGCCACCTGGGAGTAAATCAATGCCACTATCATCGCACGAGGATAAGACTGTTTCCATAATCAAATATTTAATAAAGTTAAATAGAAAAGGACAGAGAGGGCAACCCTNCCCTGAAGAACACAACTTACCGTGGTGAGATCCGGAGAAAAAGTGCCGTAAGATCGGACTCGGCTAGCAGCATAGGGATTGTAATATAAAAATAAACTAATCGGGCACTCCCTTCAGGGAAAGGCACCGCCAGAGTCTAGAGCGATCGACTGAGTCGAAAGCCGATTTCAGATCGAGGAAGACAGATGGTGGGTCTGCAAAAAGAATGTCGGTGTTCCAGAGTTTGGCGAAAGTTGAAGATGTGGTCGACACAACCTCGACCAGGTCTAAAACCAGCCTGGTTCTCATGCATGCACTCTTCACGTGCGGCAGACAATCGACGGAGTATGATCCACGCGAGAAGTTTAGAGATGATATTGATTAAACTAATTACTTTGTGGTTTTTTCAAGGGAACTTGTCACCGTTCTTGTAAATCGGTATGATGACCGATTCGCACCATTCTGTTGGAACCTTTTCCTTGTCCCACGCTGAGCCCAAAAGTTTTGTTAACTCCGAAACCAAGGCTGAACCTTCATCCTTAAAAGC